TAGTTCTCCTGTTTGAAATCGCAACTTCATGCTGCTTATTCTTCTGGCTTAGTTTTAAATATATATATTATGGATAGGTATCCATCCTTGCGTGTTGCCTATATAGATGAAAGGGAGGAGACAATCAATGGAAAATCAGAGAAAGCATTCTACTCCGTTCTGCTCAAAGGATGTAACAAATTAGATGAGGTATGAGGGAAAAAAAAATGCAAATTTATAAATGCAACTTTTCAAGTTCACTAATGCTAATTTATTACCCTGATTTTGTTCTTGGTTTGTTAGGAAATATATCGTATCAAACTTCCTGGCCCTCCTACTGAAATTGGCGAAGGAAAACCAGAGAATCAAAACCATGCCATCATTTTTACCCGCGGTGAAGCACTTCAGACCATAGACATGAATCAGGTAGCTGCAGTCTCGTTATCCTCAGCTACTTTGTTGATTCCAACTATATTCTCATTCCTTTCCCCCATTTCAGGACAACTACTTTGAAGAGGCTTTCAAAATGAGAAATGTGCTACAAGAATTTGATGAAGGTCGACGTGGAAAGAGAAATCCTACAATTTTGGGTCTTCGTGAACACATTTTTACTGGAAGGTCTGAGATTCTTTATACGTCTGATCGTTCTTGATGTTTTAATGCATATGAATATCACATTTTGGCACTACAACATTTTGTTTTCTTAATCTTTGTCTGGTTTCTTTCTGACTCCACAGTGTTTCATCGCTTGCTTGGTTCATGTCTAATCAAGAAACAAGTTTCGTTACTATTGGCCAACGTGTTCTCGCAAACCCTCTGAGGTAATCTCATATCTTGTGACTAGGGGAAAGATCCTTGCAATCCTTCCTTCGAATCATCGAACCTAATAGATTATAATAGAGTTATAATCTTTTTGTTCTAGAAAGACGACTAGCTTGGATTCTTTGTACTACAACTTACTCACATTTCTTTTACAGGGTGCGTTTCCATTATGGACATCCTGATATATTTGATAGAATCTTCCACATCACAAGGGGAGGCATTAGCAAGGCTTCAAAGATAATAAACTTAAGCGAAGATATCTTTGCAGGTAGAGAACAGTTCTTGACATTTTTGTTTTTTGTATTTGTGATGGCTAACCATGGTAATATTCAGGGTACAATTCAACTCTTCGTGGGGGTTACATCACACATCACGAGTATATCCAAGCAGGGAAAGGTCGTGATGTAGGGATGAATCAGATTTCGTTTTTCGAAGCCAAAGTTGCGAATGGTAATGGAGAACAAACACTAAGTCGTGATGTTTACCGACTTGGGCGCCGGTTTGACTTTTACAGGATGCTCTCATTCTATTTCACCACCGTTGGTTTCTATTTCAGTAGCATGGTATGCCTAATTCCTCAGTCAAATAGTGACTTCCTCTTGTAGCTCTTCCCTATACTTATTGTCAAATAACATGTCTTTTCTGTTTCAGATAACGGTGCTCACAGTATATGTGTTCCTTTATGGTCGTCTTTATCTGGTTTTGAGCGGATTGGAAAAGGAGATCCTGCAAAGTGCAACTATACATCAGTCGAAAGCGCTTGAGGAGGCATTAGCAGCTCAATCTGTTTTCCAGTTAGGTTTTCTGATGGTTCTACCAATGGTTATGGAAATTGGCTTAGAAAAAGGGTTTCGCACGGCCTTGGGTGATTTCATCATAATGCAGCTTCAGCTTGCCTCCGTTTTCTTCACGTTTCAGCTGGGAACGAAAGCGCATTACTTTGGGAGGACGATTTTGCATGGAGGTTCTAAGTACAGAGCAACTGGTCGAGGATTTGTTGTTTTCCATGCTAAGTTTGCAGAAAACTATAGACTATATTCGCGGAGCCACTTCGTTAAGGGGTTGGAGTTGGTCATACTACTAGTAGTGTATCAAGTTTATGGAAATTCGTACCGTAGCTCTAGTCTTTATATATACATCACATTTTCAATGTGGTTCCTGGTGACTTCTTGGTTGTTTGCTCCATTTATATTTAACCCATCTGGGTTTGAGTGGCAAAAGACAGTGGACGACTGGACTGACTGGAAAAGATGGATGGGAAACCGCGGTGGCATAGGAATCGTTCTTGACAAAAGTTGGGAGTCATGGTGGGATACAGAACAAGAACATCTCAAGCACACAAATTTAAGAGGAAGGGTTCTCGAGATTCTTCTCGCACTGCGATTCCTCCTTTATCAGTATGGAATTGTTTACCACCTCAACATCGTTCACGGCAAAACAACATTTCTGGTATAATATTCTGTTTTTTCTGGCACAATCTTTTCTTTGTGTCAACGACATAATCTTTTATCTTTAAAAATTTCAAAACCTTTGCACCTTTCTTCTTTAAGGTTTATGGACTCTCTTGGGCAGTCATGTTGGCAGTTCTCCTCGTCCTAAAGGTAAGGCCTCCAAAACAAATCTGCTTTGAGCTTCTTTACCTAATTCAAAACCAGAAAATCTTCAGCCAAGTCTATCTCTTCTTGTGGTTTTAGAACAATGGATTGTTTTGTGTTTTCACATTGATGATTGTTTTGTTTAATCATTTGACAGATGGTATCGATGGGTAGACGGAATTTCGGTACAGATTTTCAGGTTATGTTTAGGATTATCAAGGCGCTTCTCTTCCTCGGTTTCTTGTCAGTCATGACTGTATTATTCGTAGTCTGCGGTCTCACCATCTCGGATCTATGTGCTTCCATCCTCGCTTTCTTGCCTACTGGATGGGCCATTCTACTTGTAAGTCACACACACAACTTTCTTAACCGAGCAAGAATCTTTTCTTTGATGGGAAATATGTTTGTTAATCTGTTGCTGCTATGTTTTGAAGATCGGGCAAGCGTTGCGTAGCGTGTTCAAGGGGATAGGAATCTGGGACTCGATTAAAGAGCTAGGGAGAGCGTACGAGTACATAATGGGGCTTGTGATATTCATGCCCATCGCGGTCTTATCGTGGTTCCCATTTGTGTCTGAGTTCCAAACCAGACTGCTGTTTAATCAAGCCTTCAGTCGCGGTCTTCAAATCTCTATGATCCTCGCTGGAAGGAAAGACAAAGAGACACCTTCCTACTCGAAGTAGTGAGCTCAAGAAGCACTTTTTTCTCCATTCTTTTTCTTCTGCTATTGCTGTTTTATTGATTCAATCTTAGAGATCATAGCAAGTATAGACCTGAGATAAGACCTTATACTCATACTGTATATTGTTCAGCATATATAGGCCATTTGTTCAAGTAGTCTATGAAAAGAAAAAATGTTTTGGGTTCAGCGACAAAATTACACTTTTATCCTTGTCTCATCTACATTACAATTTTAGATACACTCGATTACTCGAAAGCTAACTGTTCAAGTAAGCTCTAAAAGAAGGTGAGAAAAAAATCAATAAGCTTCAACGAAACCTTCTTCCTTGTCGGTATGTCTCTATTATCTATGATCTTACAATCAGATTTGTTTGTTTATACTTCGTGTAAAGATCTGCCAAAGAAAAGTAACCTTTCGATGCAGAAAGTTTCATCAATCGTAAGAGATTTAGGGATTTCATTTCACAATTGGGTATGTATAGAAATGCAAATTGGAAAAAGCTATAGCCTTTTCTGAAACCCATGACGTTTTCTGCAGATTGATTTCAGGAAGCGTTGAGTCTTTACATAGATACTGCCATCTTTGTGCTTTTGAGATTGTCAAACTTACAACACAAAAC